CTGCAACAGGTGGCCCCAGTAAGTCCCCCACATCTCCCTGCCCTGAGCGCCCCCAACACCTCCTCACCCCCGAACTCTCACTCCAGCCTTAATTTTTTCCTCCACTTTTGAAAAATACAGTCATTGAAATAATGCATGTATATTTTCCATTTATTTTTTAAAAAATCACTTCAGTTACAGACCTAAGCAATGCTGGGTAAATCTGCTAGTAAAAGATTGATTAAATGCAATGAAATGAAACAGGTTCATCAATAAAAGGACTGCAGATGGCCGGAGACGGATCACACCTCTATGCATAGCTCAGCTGGACACTGGGTATACTTTGAAGTGTTTTACTTATCTCCCTTGCCTTTTTCACCTACTTGTTCCAGTTCACACTGACAACATTTAAGTCCATCTTGAATTCATCACATACTATACCACCTTGAATTTAAGAACATCTAAGATGAATGGATTTCAGAGTGCTTTATTATAATCACTTTACCTACCATTAAAATACAGCCACTTCTAGGGTAGAAAGTGGCAGCTGTTCTGTGAAAATGATAATGCAGAATAGTTTAAAGAAAGAGAAGTGAAAATGTATTTAATTTGAAATCAGACATTTAGATGAGACTGTAATAGGACTATAATAGAGTTTAAAGAGAAGCTAGATAATTTCATGGAGGTGAGGTCCATAAAAGGCTATTAGCCAGGGGATAAAATGGTGTCCTTGGCCTCTGTTTGTCAGAGGCTGGAGAGGGATGGCAGGAGACAAATCGCTTGATCATTGTCTTTGGTCCACCCTCTCTGGGGCACCTGGTGCTGGCCACTGTTGGCAGACAGGATACTGGGCTAGATGGACCTTTGGTCTGACCCAGTACGGCCATTCTTATGTTCTTATATGGGATCTTGAATGATTGAGTGGTTCCATCCTTGATTTCCTGTCTTGTCCAAAAAAAGGTTTTTTTGCTATGTTTTTTTCCCTTTTCTAGGAATATACTGTGTGTTTTAGATTATCTGGATTCATGCTCTCAGAATGAGCAGCTATAGCTATTATTTTTGGAAGAGGGAAGGTGATGAGGAAAAAAGATCCCAAGATTAGAGCCATCAGTGAAAAAGAGAAACATTTTTCCCAAGGAGCTTGTTGTTATACTTCTGTTGTCTAAAGCAATTTCTAAAGTATGTGTCTACATCCTGAGCAAACATGCTAGTCATGATTTGAACTTGGGTAGCTGGCTTTTGCTGGAAATATCCTGCATAGTTGTGAGAATCTGCATTTATCCCAGTGTGCCCTTAATAGTAAGATCTGAGCACCAGTTGGGAATATTCATGATTTGTGTTTTGGGTTTTTATACCTATCAAAAGGTCAGCTTGTCTTGTTTACTCCTGACGTGAGTGGGGGGGACAGTTGCTGTGCTGTGCTAGGCCCCCTCAGAAATCCCTCAGGCTGCTCCCTTGGGGGACGGGGTGCAATGGGTGGGCCAGTGGCAGGAAAGGATGGGGCTTAGGGATGGGAATGAGAACAGACAGCCCTCCTCCTCTCCCAGGCAAGATTGTGCAGCCGCTTCAGCTGGGGATGGCCGTGGCCTGGGAGTTTGAGACACCTGGTATAAAAACTCTAACTTAAAATAGGTTTTCACCAAAAATGGGAGAGCTCCCTTTGTTCTTCAGCTGTACACAAACAAATATTACCCCAACATTATGTGCCTTCCTACTGCCTCATTAAGAGGTAGACTGCTAAGCACCACATTAGCCTGCATTGCAGTAGAGATGAGAGAAAAATATGTGGAAAAAATTGAGGGGGTTTTAAGTGTGTACTTGTATGCACACACGTGATATTAAAGTTAAATTTAAAATATTTTTTAACGTTTTTTTTTAATATATGTACTTTTATTCTTTTTTTTGTGTGTGTGTGTGTGTGTGTGTGTGTGTGTGTGTAGGGATTTTTCAACGGTGTTCTTCAATAGTATTCCAATATCTGGGTCTTTGGCTGGCTCAATTATGTCTTCTCAGATTAATCAGCAACTGATGTCATTAGATTCCAATGCAACTAACTCCCTCAGCACTTCAAAGCCTTCTCTAGAACCACTTGCAGCCAGTATAAAACCTACAGATAACACAACCAGTAAAGATGGGTCAGTATTTGCAAGAAGTTTTATTTCTTTTGATCTCGAGGGCTTGTCCTTCATAATTCCCTAAATAAGCAGTTAAAGTGGGTTTTCTGCCAGAAAATATTGAGAATGTAGTATTGTCCTGCATACTTCAGGAAGGTATTAATATTCATTACTCTTTTAATAGTAGTGGGAACTAAACTGTACCAAACCCATGTTTTTTGTAAAAATCAGTTTATCCTTGTTAACATCCAATATGCACCACTATGTGGCATGTTCTAAGATGTCCACACGCAAGGGCGCATCTGTTTTCTGTGAGGAAACTCCTCCGTTGTTGGATTGAGCTCGGAGTTGAGATACAACTAATAACTTTAAACCACTGCAGCTGAACAAATCCCTAGGCATGCACTGGAAATGCTCTTGCCCAGTGAAATAAGATGTATTTTGGTTTGTTGTTATGATGAAGTGGAGATTGTATTCACTCTGTTCACTTGTCATGTTGTATGTGATTTCTACTGTCCTGTACTGTTCTGTTGTAACAATGTGTGTGCCTCAGTTTTGGGTGTGACTCACTGAGTGGGAGGCTGCCCCACCCCAGCACGTAAACAGTAGCTCAGGCTCTCTTGTAACCTGAACCTAGGTGGGGGGGTGTGCAACCAGATAACACGTTTTTGCCTGGGAAGGGGACAAAGGAAGAGGCGGGGCTGCATGCAGGCAAGGACTGGTTCCTGGGTGTGTGAATGGGTCTCAGCTAGCTTAGGATGCAGATGGATTGTACTGACTGCTCCTGGTTCCTGTGCTAACAAGTCTGTTCTACGCTGTATCCCTGTGAACCAATAAACCTTCTGTTCTACCTGCTGGCTGTGTCCCCCATCTGGCTGCGGATGGGGGTGCAGGGCCCAGAGACTCCCCACTCCTTTGTGACAGTTATCCACTGGAGTAACCACAAAATCCTCCTTATAAACACTGAGCTGCCATTAGTACAAGATTACAGCTCCTTAAAAACCTCTGTATTCAGTCTAAATTGAATATTTTAAAAGTGAGCAAATCTTAGATGACTTTTGTGATGTAAGATCCTGTTGTATGGCTCAGAGGGTATGTCTACACTACAGCGCTAATTTGAACTAACTTAGTTCGAATTAGTTAATTCGAACTAAGCTAATTCGAACTAACGGATCCAGACTATAAAACTAGTTTGAATTAGCGTTTTGCTAATTCGAACTAGCATGTCCACATTAAGTGGACCCTGAACCGAGGTTAAGGATGGCCGGAAGCAGTGCCGGCAGGGCATCAGAGGAGGACTTAGAGCGTGGAGATGCTGTCTCAGGCTAGCCGAGGGCTCTGCTTAAAGGGTCCCGACCCCCACCCCGGACAGACAGTTCTCAGGGGTGCCCCGCTTGCAAAGCAGTCCTGGCTTGGATTGCCCGGAGTACCCACACTGGGCACATCACAGCACTCAGCCATCAGCCCGGCTGCACTTGCCGCAGGCTGCCATCTGGGGAGAGGG